GAAAATTTACAAAATCCCAAATGGATGTTCCTTTATACATTCTCCTGTAAGAGAAAGGGAAAGAAATCAGAGCATCTGTCTTTGGTCAAATTTTGGAAGATGCAAGTTCACAAGGGCAAATAAAGATTTTGGTCTTTAGGTAAAATTTGATGATTTTGTTTTTAATTAGTAGCATATCAGATGCTGTGTAGAACGTCCCATGCATTCGAATGTGATGTGTCTGACCACAATGCTAGCAAAGCTCACGCCAGATCTGGATTCTGGCTTCTGGGAAGAGGGCTTTGCAGCAGTCACCTTGTTGGAGACTTGACAGCTGCTGAGTTACTAATAAACTTCCCATTTCGTTTTCTTCTTTGGTCTGTGAGGGTATCCAGCTGAGAGCATCTCCTCTGGCTATAACCAAGGGAAGGGTCCTTGCTCTGGTTAGGTTTCCTGGGACCAGTCTCCCCCCTCAGTCTGCTCCTCCTTCCGGCAAACCACCAAAGACTTGTTTTTACCTTTACTTTGGGTCACCACTTAACAAATCCTTTGTTGTTTAATAATAATTTGCCAATTTGTCCCCAGGTGGATTAGAACCCCTTTAGTGCAATTGTATCGGTTTCATTAGCCTCACAATGCCTTGGAGTATTTTTTAAAATACTCAATGCTTATTTCTTTAAATGAATGAACAGTTTCTATTTCCAAAGAGCCGTGTTTTCACTAATAGACAGGATCTAGGTTGGCTTCAGAAGTCATGAGAGCACCAGCTTAGTTTCTGCTCTTCAAGCTGCCAATCTTTTAAAGATTCCAAACTGCTAGGAGTATCAGTGAACCTCAGCAGGACTGAGGACTGGTAGTGACTTGACCCTTTGATGAGTTTCCAGACTACTCATTATTGGAAGCCATTATTTAGGAATGGTTACTTGACTTGTATATCTTTGTGCATTATTTAACAATGCAAATAATTGCACTCAAGGCCCTTCTTTGATTCAAGTGCACATTTTTTTTAGCCCCTAAGAACTTGAATTCAAAAAGGATTCTGTGTATCCATGAGGTTACCCTCGGATTCTCCTCTTTTTGCATCCTTTACACAGAGGCATACACATCATCATTTTAATAAGGAGATTGTCAACAAATATTCTCTGGCCCCTACCATTGACAAACACTGTGGCAAGGAACACATAAGAGAAACAACCTCTGTCCCCAAGTAGCCAAGTAGATAATATATGTGATTTGCCTGCCACTGTGTTTCTCTCTGAAGTACAAGGTAACACCAAAGTATGACATAAGGTTCCCAAAGCAGTTTACAAACAAGGAACTTCAGACCAGAGACGCTAGGCGGCTCGCCCAAAGATGCACAGCTGTGTAGTGGCTCAATCACAACTCAACTCTGGTTTTCTGATGCCAAGCCCAATGCCCCACCCCAAATATTGATAGATATGTAGAAATACACATTCA